CTTCCTTCCTTCCTTCCTTCCTTCCTTCCTTCCTTCCTTCCTTCCTTCCTTCCTTCCTTCATTCCTTCAACTCAGGACCTTGTACATGCTAGGGAAATACTCTGCCACAGAGCCACACTTCCAGCCCCATATGAAAATTTTTTTCTGGAATGTTTGTTTCTTAACGTGTTTTGTTGATTAAGAACCCTTACCATGCACACTTGCGGTTCTGTTTTATTTTGATTGATTCAGTCTATTAGTAATAATCACTGAACACTGGGGAAAGACTGAAAAACAGTGGGGCTATGCCTCAGCTTGCCTTGCATACAAGAAGTCTTGTTTTCAGTCTCTAGCACTGCATAAGCTGGTTGTGGTGGCACACACCTGTAATCCTAACACTCTGGAGGAGTGGAAGAGGCAGGGGAATCAGGAGTTCAAAGCCATTTTTGGTTACATAGCAAGTTCAAGGCCAATCTGGGCTATGTGAGATCCTGTCTCAAAAAAAGAAAAGAAAAAAAAGGCTGAAAACTTTTCTAGCCAGTTCACCATGTGAAGCAGCAAAGTATGCTGAAATGCATGGGGGCCCAGGGAAACCCAGTGAGCCAGAACAGGAAGGAGTTTTTTTAAGTTCCTGAAGGCATGCTGGGGTCGAAGTGCCTTTGCAAGCCAGGCCTGGTAACACATGCCTAGAACCCTAGCGCTTGGGAACTGGAGGCAAAGGATCATAAATGTAGGATGTTCACCACTGACATAATGAATTTGTCACTAACCTGGAGTACTTGAAACCCTCTCTCAAAATAAAGGGGAGGCTGGGTATGGTGATACATGCCCTTTTATCCCAGCACTTGGGAGGCAGAGGCAGGTGGATCTCTCTGAGATCCAGACCAGCCTGGTCTACATAGTGAATTCCAGGCCAGCTGGGGCTATAGGGTGACCCTGCCTCAAACAAAACAAAGCAAAAGTGCCTGTACCTCAGAGCAGCAGAGTCAGCATGTTCTGCTTGGGGTGCTCTTTCTTAGAAAGGAGGAGAACCCCCAACTAGCTCAGGAAAAGAATGAATCTTATTGTCCTTTGTGATAAAACTACTACGTTATCCCTGTACTACTTATCTACTTGTCACATTTAATTACATATTGTGCCCTAAGCATCCCAGAGGTGTCAGTGGTGGCATCATCTCTCTCTACTTATAGTACTAGGTCACCTTGTCTCCAGTGCATGTGATTTTCTTTCTGAGAATATTTGAAGGAGGCTTTTTTTTTCTATGATTATCATAAGATTTGATCTGTGAAAGACAGTAACAAAGGTGCACACTTGGAAGGAATCTGTTCTGATTCTATAAAAGTTGTAATTTTTTTCTGTTATAATTGCTGTCTTTTTTTGTTTGTTTTTTGAGATAAGGTCTCTGTAGCCCCAGCTGGCTTGCAACTCATGTAGACTAGACTGGCCTTGATCTCACAGAGATCCATCTGCCTCTACCTCTTAAGTGCTAGGATTAAAGGGGTGTACCACCAGGCCTGGCAGAAATTGCTCTTTTTTTTTCCCCCTCTCTTTTTAAGACAGGGTCTCTCTGTAGCTGCAGTTGGCCTGGACCTCACTGTGTAGACCAGGCTGGCCTCAAACTCATAGAGATCCGCCTGCCCCTGCCTCCCAGGTGCTGGGATTAAAGGTGTGCGCCACCACACCCACCTTATTACTAGCACTTTCTATTGCTGATGTCATGTGATTTTGCTCCTCCAAAATGGTGTCCTTGCCACTGTATAATTTGTATATGTGTATTTGTCTGTCTCTCTAGCTATCTGGTTGTATATATGCAAGTATACACATGTGTGAAGGCCAGAGAGCAACACCGAATATCTTCCTCAGTTATTCTCCATCTTATTTTTTAGAACAGGATCTCTTTGAACTTGAAGCTTGCAGATTCAGGTAGACTGGTTAGCCAGCAAGCAGCCAGGATCCTTCTGTCCACCTTACCAGCACTGAGATTATAAGTGTGTGTTGTCACACCTGACTCTTTTATATGGATGCTGGAGATTAAACTCAGGTCCTCATGGTTGTGCTGCAAACACTTTACCAACTAAGTCATTTCTCCAATCCCACTATTTAGCTCTAGAAGGAATAATTTAAAAGAACAACAGAGCCGGGCGTGGTGGCGCACGCCTGTGGTCCCAGCACTTGGGAGGCAGAGGCAGGCGGATCTCTGTGTGAGTTCAAGGCCTGCCTGGTCTACACAGTGAGTTCCAGGCCAGCTGGGGCTACAGGGAGACCCTGTCCCAACCCCCCCCCCCCCCGCCAAAAAAAAGAACAACAACAAATTTGTATTAAAAATCAATTCTCAGGGACTGGGGAGATGGTTCAGTGGGTAAAAGCACTTGGTACACAAGCCTGATGACCTGAGTTCAATTCCCAGATCCCACATAAAAAGCCAAATACTATATGCATTTGTTATCCCAGAACTCTTACAGCAAGACGGGAGGCAGAAACAGAAGAATCGGCCAGAAGCTCATAGGCCAGCTAGCCTGGAATACATTGTGCAGTGGCAGAAACTACAAGATGGGCACTGTCTCAATGTGGTAGAAGGGGGAAACTAAATACTAAAAATTATCCTCTGTACTGTGGTGCACATGTGGGCTCATACACATAAAATTAATTTTTAAAAATTACTCTGTTCTTTTTGATCAAATCATGTGAAATTTGGCTTCTGTAATTATCATCCTGAGCTTAGACATATCTTTCGAAGATTTGAGTTCATCCTCCGGAAAATGAGAATGATGGTCCACCTGCTTCATAGGGTTGTACAAGTCTACTGGCGTGAAGCACATAAAGAGCCTGACTCCCAGAAAGCATTCAGTGAAAGATTGGTGTTTGACATCATGAGCGCTAAATGGATGCATTACTCCCAAATGTCCCAGGTCCACTTTGAGGTACAGTGTTGACTGGCATTCTCATTGCAGTCTCTTCCTTCTGCAGAGACTTGCTGTCTCCTGACTCAGTCCTGAGCTGTCTGTATCCTGGGGATCATGGGAAAAAAACTCCGAATCCAGCCAATCAGTATCAGTTCGACAAAGTTGGGTGAGTCAGCAGTGTTTGAGCCCCGCCCCCTGTGCCTGAGTGTCTCCAGTGGCTCAGGGCCAAACTGAAGACCTGTTAGGGCCAGGGTCTACCCAGAGGCCCTGGAAGCTGGAGAGGATATCTATCTGCATGTAAGGCAAAGGGATGTCATTGAAAGGTGAAAACTTGAGAAATACAGGAGCACAAGGGGCTCTAGGGAAGTGGCTCAGTGGTAGCACTCTGGGTTAGATCCCTAGCACTGAAAAAGAAAAAACCAACAATAAAATATGTAACATCATTTTAGTTCTCTGAGTATTCATGTTTTAAAGTACAAATTGGTCAGAGCAGTCAAGAGATCAATGTAGTGTCTTTTTGAGATTTGCTTATGAGTTAAGGTTACAAGGAAAAAAGAGGAAAGTACATGTTGGAGAGATGAAATTCCTTGTAAGGATCGGATGATAATTAAGGAGCTTTAGCTTGTAGGATTGGCCTTTCTTCAAGGGATGGAAGAATAAGAGAACTATTCTGGGGCTGCAGCAGAAATGGCTCTTTTTTTTTTTTTTTTTTTTTTATTTCCTTTTGGTACTGGTGATCGGACCTAGAACATTGTGCATGCTAGGCAAATGCTCTACCACTGAGCTCCATCTCCAGCCCATGATATCATTTTGTTTGGTCTTTTCTGTAGCATCCTGAGTTTGAGAGACTATGTACTTGAATTAGGCCACCCCTATTTGTGGGTACAGAAGCTTGGTGGCCTCCACTTCCCCAAAGAACAGCCTCAGGTATGTACCCTGACCCTGCCTCCTCAGCTGAGGAACCATACCTCTCCTAGGTAGATTCCAGAAAGGCCTTTGGGGCTTCTTAGGGTTTTGATCTAGCAGAATGCCTTCTTTTGAGGCTGTGATCTGTCTTCCATCCACTAAAATGTCCTAGCCTCTTGCCCTGGGTATGGCATAGATCAGTAGGTTCTGCTGTCCTTGGACTGATGCCACAAATGAAAATAGGCAGTTTCCCAGGGGCCAAACACCTTAGCAGAAGTCTGCCTTGTCTCAGGAACTAGTCACAGCCTCAAAGGAACTCAGTAGCTTGTGTTCTTGCCAGAACTTAGCATTTGACCTGTCCTAATGGGTAACTTTGCCATTGCTAAACATACCCACCCTATGGCATAGTGACCCAGGCTCTGCAGTCTTAACTAGTCTCAGAAGAGAGGTAGGTACCTGGAGGGAGGGGGAGCTTTCCAGTATGTGTCCTTCATTGTCACTTGCTATTAGCATACAGTGATGGCCGACCATTCACAAAGCGCCAGCCACATGGAGACCACCATGAAACTGCTCAAGACCAGGGTGCAGTCCCGCCTGGCTCTCCACAAACAGTTTGCATCTCTGGGTAAGCTGGGGCTTGGATTGGGGCCTGACAGCCACTCGGACAACACAGGGACAAAAGTCACAGACTTTCCTTTAGTACTTGTAAATCCTGATCACAGATTAAAAAGACCTGGGTCTTGGCTTTACTGAGCAGTGAGTGGTTGGTAGGACCAGTGAGGAAAGCTGCAGTTCCATTCAGGCAGAGGTCTGAGCTCCCTGCAGAGTTGTTGGTTCTATGCCAGCCCTCCCAGGATACTCCAAAGCCTTTAGGTGGCACAAGTTCACAGATTCATCAAGGCAACTTATCCTGGATCCATGCATCACAGACTCAGTACACACTTGGCAGGTATTTAATGAGAGCCTAACTCATGCCAGTCATCTCCATAGCCTGAGGGAAGGAACAGTGGGACCTTTGTATCCATTTAGTGCACATTTAGCTCATTGACTGTTACTCCCTTATCCTTCTACTGAGGCAATGCTCCCCAGGGTGAAAATAAGCCATCAACCTAGGTGGTGACAATGTGGGGCTTCTTTTAATTTATTCAGTTCAAAACTTGACAGGTATTTACAAAACAATTGCAGGGTGGGGCTAGGGTTTGAGGAGATGCAGATCTTTCTGATCTAAATAAACTAATCACTGTCAAGTTAGGCATTGGGTACCCAGGACCTATCAGGAGACAAGAACTCCATCTCTTGTCTGGGCCAGGTCTTTGGTTCCATGTGGACACTGATCTCTCCAGGACTGCATCACCCATCCATGAGGCCTTGCTCCCTAATTAATATTGCCAACTTTGTTTTGTCCCAAGGTTGGTGATTGTCATCCAGACTGCATTCATTCCCTGTGTTAGGATATTTGTTTATTGAAATGCCAGCAGGAATTTACCCTAGAGCAGTTTGCCAGCTCTCTTCCCTTAGAGGAACTGACACAGAACACTGCAGTCAGTTTTTCTTTCAAGGTCAGCTGAGAAAACAGCCCTCTCAGCTATTTGATCCAATTAGAAGTCCCTGCCACAGAGGCACTGGTGCTGGTTGTGGCCCCAGGGTTTTGTTTTGCTAAATGTCATCTGCATTAAGGATAAAGAACCATGTATGCACGTGTTGAGTCTGACTGTAGGCACATAAGCCTGCGTGAAGTTGGGGGGCAGGTTGATATGCCTGTATTCCTGGTGTGTGATGACCTGGGTACTTCTTGAGTACCAGATGTACCTGGACAAATGGCAGGGCCACCTTAACCCTCTAGAAAGCCTCAGGCAGATGCTAGTTGCTCAGCTGTGGTACCTGGTTTCTATCTGTAATGCCACCTATCTTGCTTGCTTGCTTTTAGAACATGGCATTGTGCCAGTCACCAGTGATTGCCAGTGCCTCTTCCCTGCCAAGGTTGTTTCTCACCTGGTAAAGTGGGTGATGATTCCCCATGAAGATTACATGGTAAGTAGAACTGCAGTCCCTAGGACCATGTTACCCCTCAGCTCCTGTACCCCAGCCCTACCATTAGGCAAGGATTTTAGTAGAGAAACAGCACTCATACTGTCTGTGGTTCCTGTTCTAGGATCTGCTTTTCACTAAGGACATTGTAGAGGCAGGACTGGCTGGGGACACCAATCTCTACTATCTGGCACTTATTGAAAGAGGCACAGGTAAGTAATTGCTCTGCTGATCACAGGGTTCCTAATCAAGGGGAGCAATGAAGTATTACACATGCCTAGTGGTTACCCCAAAGAAGTAAAAGGTCCTGGAATCCTGCATGGAGATTTAGCAAATGGTAGTGACTAGGGAGCCATCCCTGTTCAGTAAGAACTTGTTCTGAAACACAGCAACATACATGTTCCATGTCATTTAATCCTTAACAGTCACTGAGGTGGTGATTTATTCCATTTTATAGCTGAGGAAATTCTGGCCTAATCATAAGCTTGGTCTCACCTCTAGCATCAGACCTCCCATCTTCCTCCCTCACAGAAGGGCAGGGCTCTCGTCACTATGGTTGTAAAGGATTTGGTAGCAGAGCCTCCCTCCCTCTTCTACATAGTCCCTGTATTCCCTGTAGAGACATTGAAGGCTGTGATTCCTCATACCACTTCTGGCATCTGACTCTGCCAGGACCTTCTGAAGCCACTCAGATGCCATGCTTAGGCTGCTATAGTGTCATCCTACCCCAGCTTCAGCAAGCCTGGCACTGCCCACAGGACCTCACCCTTGCAGCCCCACAGCTGACCACCAAACTGATAAATTTTTCTTTGTTCCTGAATTAATCAATATTTTAGGAGGGGTAATAAAAGTCCTGTCCTGAACACTTGCCCAGCATATACAAGGTCATAAATTTAATCCTCGATACCATAAAAAAAAAGTAAAATAAAACAAAATAAAATTCCTGAGGCTGAGTATTTTTTTTTTTTCTTTTTTACTTTTTCATTTTTTGATCTTTTTGAGACAGGGTCTCCCTGTAGCCCCAGTTGTCCTTGAACTCACTATGTAGACCAGGCTGACCTTGAACTCACAGAGATCCACCTGCCTCTGCCTCCTGAGTGCTGGGATTAAAGGCATGTGCCACCACGCCCAGCTTCTGCAGCAACTTTTAAGTTAATAGGAGACATTTGTGTTGTTTTTGGGTACAGTGGGGAGGCCACCGTGGAAAGCTGGGTAATGATTGATTTCTCTCCTCTTCCCTCTTTTCCTAGCCAAACTTCAGGCTGCTGTGGTATTGAACCCTGGTTACTCCTCCATCCCACCCATTTTCCGGCTCTGTCTGAATTGGAAAGGGGAGAAAACCAATAGCAACGATGACAACATTCGGGTAAGGCCCACAGTGGTGTCAGGAGACAGGAGGGCCCCTGGAGAGGCAGGCAGTGGCAGAACCTGTTGCAGCTGAGGGCATGGGCACTGCCGCTGAAGGCATTGCTCTAGTTCCCAGGACAGGATTTAGAGAACGTGCTGAGCCTGATTATAAAAGGGCCTAGACATATCTCACCCACTTCATTTCCCCTAGGCCCATGGCTTTTCCCATTTGTAACATAGCAATGTTGGCCAGGCATGGTGGCACACATCTTTGATCCCAGTACTTGGCAAACAGATCTTGAGTTACAGGCTAGGCAGAGCTATAGGGACCCTGCCTCTCAGAAAAGAAAGAAAAAAAAACGAAAAACAATGTTTGTTTAAAATGTTGCTTTGGGTTTCTGTGAGGTGATCATTATGGAAGTGCTCATGTTAGATGACAGTGAGATTCTGCAGCTGTTGCTTGTGGCCAGGCCTCTTGAAAGGATTTGGTAGCCTTATGGCCATGGAGCATGTTTTTAGGCCCAGTGCCTTCTGACTTGGGACTTGGGATTCCTTCTCTGCATACCTCTATCTTTCTGGCTGTGAGCATTTGAGGCTGGAAGAGTATGAGTGAGAATCAGAGTGTTGTCTTAAGGAAAGGGGGCCTCAAGACAAGTCTTTGGCTTCACCATAGACTCAGCTTCTACATACTCACCAGCCTTAGTTCTTGTGGTACCCTCAGGCCCAACCATGAGACAGCAGCCCTGCCTGGTGACCAGCTGAGCTTAGGAAGGTAGTGCTGAGGTGCTGGCTTCCCACCCACACAGGCTATGGAGAGTGAGGTCAACGTGTGCTATAAGGAGCTGTGTGGTCCCCGGCCCAGCTACCAGCTCTTGACCAACCAGCTGCAGAGACTATGTGTGCTGTTGGATGTCTACCTGGAGACTGAGAGCCATGATGACAGTGTAGAAGGGCCCAAGGAATTTCCCCAGGAGAAGATGTGCTTGCGGCTTTTCAGGTGAGTAGCAGGCTGGGCTCTTGTGATTTCTCATGGGAACATGGGCAGAGAGTAGAGCACTACAGGACAGAACCTGGCACAGAGGTCATGCACATTTCCAGGTAAACCTTTCTTTGTTTACAATAGAAATTAAAATTCTGCTGTCAAATTTTCCAGGGAGAACTTATTTCTTCCTTCCTGAAACTTGACTGCAACTTGGCTCACCTATTCTTTATGGTCACACATTGGAGGAAGTTACCAAACCAAGTAAATTACCATGAGCCATGCCAAGAAGATGACTGAACTTTCATTATTTTCTGTGGGAAACAATAGAGTCTGTTTACTTTTGACTAAGTTAGCATTTTAAGGTAGTGCATCCCCACAGTTCCAAGTGAATCTTCTGTCATCCTCTTTGGGTGCTCCTCAGTGAGACTCACAATAGTGGGCAATTGGGCAGCATAGAAGGAATCAGCTCTCCCAGAAGTCAGAAAAGTTCTAAGTCAGGGGTCTGACTGGAGTCCAACAGGTCTTAACAACTTGATATATAAGAGTGTCTGGGCTCACAGCATCTTGGGCTACTTCTCCATTTTCTTTAGCATTGGAGTATTGGGGCCTTTCTTTCCTTTTTGTCCCCTAATCTGTTACTCTTTCAAAATCCTAGAGACTCCTGATAGGTCTTTTGGACAAAGGGTGGGGACTGTAATCTCTTTATAATCTATCAGGCCTGGCATTGTGGCTCATGTCTATAATCTTACCACTTGGGAGCTGGAAGCAGGTAGATTGCCCTAAGTTTAAGGCCATCTTGAGCTACAGAGCAAATAAAACAAAAACAGACCAAAACACAAATGAAAACTATCTGTCCAAAGAGCACCTCACTTCTCTCTTATCGTGTTCATGCACAGCCAGTTCTACCCTCCCCAGGAAGTGTCCCAGCATTTTCCTTCATTGTCTGGTTCTTCATTCTCCACTGCCCTGTTCATGATATTGTCTGATGATAACCAGCTCCAACCCCAAGTGGCTACAGGGGAGCAAAGCTGTCTGCATCTTGCTGTCTTCAGTGGGTTTGTGTGAAACCTCAGCTCTTCCCACCTCACTGTGTGCTATAGCACTTTTCCAGGGTGGGAGCTCCCACATGGTTTATGCTCATTTTATTTTAAATAGTTCCCAGAAGACTCTTTTCCTGAAGTGCTGATCTCTGTTGGCACTCTGGGAGAATAGAGTTAACACCACCCCTGATGAATGGGGGCTGCAGGGTCCTTGGTCTGGAGTCCACCTGATCCCTGGGATTAGGATCAACGAGGGGCCGGCTGGGTGAGTGCAGAGTACTGGTGTGGGCATTGGTAGATCTCAGGTGCAGCTTGAACTGAGACTTCTCCATTCTACCTAGACGTGCCCAGTGGCTCTCTGCCCCATTGGTGTTTGGCGACTTATAATGCTATAGAGGCTCCAGGGCTGAGGTGGAAATTCCAGCTCCTCACTATGAGCTAAGGGATCTGTACTCCCAAGCAGCATATATTTCATGTGTTTGTGGGACTATTAAATTGAAATTGAGGATGCAAAGTGTAGACTGCTTAAGCCCTCATCTGCTGGTGGAAACAGAATGCTTTCAATATCCTTCAGCCACTGGTAGAGAATAAAAACTTACCACTTTCTAATCCCTGCCTCACACTCAAATTGTATATATTTGCATATACTCCCTTATGCCAAGTCCCAAGGAGTTACCTTCTGTTACTGTTGAATGTCAGTCATAAATAAAAACTAGGGCCCATTTTGCTGGACATTTGTTCTTTGTGGAGTTGTGTAGAAGAAGCCCCTAAGCTTCACAGGGTGGAGGTTTGGACACGGGTCTTATTCTGCCTAGTCGTGACTTGGGCTTCCTGGAGCAAACTGGCTTTGGTGTCAGACCTGTTTTCAAATTTGCCTCTGCTTTCTGGCCTAACACTATTGGTCAGACATCTTGCCTCCTAAAGGAAACCTAGAGAATGATAGAAAGGAGCCAGTGAGGTATACATCCATAGCTCTTGGCAGACAGATTCTTTTCATTCCCTGATTTCTGTTTACATAGGAATCTCTAGCAGCCATTTTAAAATTTTTTCTTAACTTTTTTCAGTTATAGAAGTAAAACATGTTTGTTGTTAAAGCTACAAATAACCTGGAAACTGAGGGTGGGGGCTAGAGAAACAGCTCCCTGGTTAAGAGTACTTCCTGCTTGGGGCTGGAGAGATGGCTTGGTGGTAAAGAGCACTAACTGCTCTTGCAGAGGGCCCGGGTTTGATTCCCAGCACCCACCTGGCAGCTACGAATCATCCTTAACTCCAGTTCCAGGGGAATCTAACACCCTTTTTTGACCTCCATGGCATTGCATGACACGGGTACATTCACATACATGCAGGCAGTACACTCATACACATAAAAAATAAAAATAATAAATATAATATTAAAAAAAGAGTACTTCCTGCTCTCAGAGAGAACCCTGGGTTCAGTTCTTGGTAGTCGCATGCTGGATCACAGCTGCCTTTAACTCCAGTTCAGGGGGTCCAGCATCCTTTCCTGGCTTCTATGGACATCAGCCATGCACACAGTGAACATACATACATGCCGGCAAACACTTATGCACATTTTGTCTTCATTTTTTGAGACAGAGTCTCCCTGTAGCCCAAACTAGCCTGGAACTCACTATGTAGGCCAGCCTGACTTCCATCTCACAGAGATCTGCTTGCCTCTGCCTCCCAGGTGCTGGAGTTAAACGTATGTGCCACCACACCTGGCCAAAATAAATCTTAAAGGAAGGAAGGAAGGATGTCTAGGCTCTATCCCCAAAATATCCACTACATTGATACTACATTGAAGGCTCTTCCAGTTTTGTGTTCACACATTTGCAAGCATATAGACAGTTTTACAAAACTGATGTCATACCTTAACTGCTGTGATCTGATTTTCTCAAGAGGTCCTGTGCCATGTAACTGACTTTTTCCCCATAGCAGTTACATGATATTCTCTTGTGAATGAGATGTTATTTATTTTATCAGTCCAGAAGGTAGGTTATTAACTCTTCTCCCTTTTCTTGTTTCCCTAGGGGTCCAAGCAGGATGAAGCCATTTAAATATAATCATCCTCAAGGATTTTTCAGCCATCGCTGACCTTTCTGTCATTCCCCCAAGGCCCTACCCTGAGTCTGTGTCTCTACTTTCTGCTCTCACCACATGTGGTTCTTGATATTTTTCCAAAGACACTAGCTGATTAAAGTGTCACCTAACCAAATGGCCTTTGTTTGTGGCTCCTTGGGCAATCTGGAAGAGCAAGTAGGAGCCATGGCACAGTTTGAAGAACATTTGTGGATGGGCTTTTTTAAAGTAGCCAAGAAGAGCAGGTGCAAAGAGATTCCAGTTCTCCAGAGACACCACCTGCTTGTCCACAGCTGCCTTGGTTTTGTATGGGTGTGAGGTATCTTGGTATTTATTATCCTAGGTCTCTGCTATTAGGAGATTGCAGAAGCCAAAGTCCTGTAGATTGAAAAATTCCTTTTTCATCCTTCCTTGTTTAAATAGACATGCTTTTGTCCCTTGAAGGCCTAATATCTGATGATTAGATGCTTAGAATGCCTAACATTGCAATATTAAATAGAAGACAAGGTGTATTAGTTATTTTTCTGTTGCTGTGATAAAGCACTGTGACCAAGGGAAGAGTTTATTTGAGCTTACAGTTTCAGAGGAATCAGAGTCCCTCATGGCAGGAAGACATGGTGGCAGAGGTGGCTGGAGTAGGGGCAGAAGCTAAGTACTCACATCTTCAAGTTGGCATAGAAAGCAGAGAACGACTAGAGATCTGGCAAAGCTTCAGAACTCTCTAAGCTTGCCCCCAGTGATGTGCTTCCTCATGGCCACACCTTCTAAGGCCTCCCAAAACACCACCACCAGCTGGGGACAAAATGTCCGAATCCTTGGAGCCTCTGGGGGACAGTCTCATTCAAATTACCACACAAATACATTACAAAGAGCAATCTATATCTTCCAAGTTTTCATGGTCAGTCGGCCAGTATTAGAATCATATGCAGAACTACTAGTCAGTAATGATACCCTTGCCATAGCCCAAAAGCGAGACCTGTCTTTGACTATACCACCCTGAACATGCCCAATCACGTGTTCCCAGAAGCTAAGCAAGGTTGGGCCTGGTTAGCACTTGGATAGGCAAATGAGACCACATAGCATATGAGGAGAATCTTCATGATAGTGGCCATCAGTGCCTCATCAAATATGTTTTGACTTTCAGAGGGTTAGGAAAATGTTTGCAAAGTTATCTCCTTTGGGTTCTAGGGGTACAGCTCAGTATAGACCACTTGCCTAGTACGCTCAAGTCCTCAGCACCACAAAAAAACCCCAAACAACCTTCCTTTGTCATTGAATATTCATGAACACTTAAAACAATTTTATTTATTTTATGTGTTTGTTTTGTCTGCATGTATGTAAGTGTGTGTACAGTGCCCATAGAGGCCAAGAAGAGGATGTCAGATCTGGAACAGGAGTTATGAATAGTTGTGAAGCTGCCACATGGATACTGGAAACAGAACCCAGGTCCTCTGGAAGAGGTGCCAGTGCCATCTCTCCAGCTCCAAATTTACTTTTGTTTTTCCTTGTTTTTGTTGTTGTTTGTTCATGGGTCTTTTGTTTGTTTCTTTTTGAGACAGGATCTCCCTGTACCCCTAGCTAGCTTGGAACTTACTGTGTAGACCAGGATGACCTTGATCTCAAAAAAGGTCCACCTACCTCCTGAGTGCTGGAATTAAGGCATGTGCCACCATGCCCAGCCCCCAAATTTTAATTTTTATGATAGTTGCAGTTTAACTTTTTCAAGCTTATTTTCCCTTCATAGTGATGTGCAGCTTAGTCTTGATTACAAACATATCTACTCCAAGTAGATTGTCTTTGATAGCATGGACTCCAGTATGAAAACTGCTTTTTCTGCCCTATCAGCATCAGCTGAGCATCCAAAAAATAAAGATTCTCTGAAGGTTGGGTCTAGAGAGATGGCTCAGTGGTTAAGAGCACATACTGCACACTGGGCATCATGGCACATTCCTTTAATCCCAGCACTTGGGAGGCAGAGGCAGGTGGATCCCTGTAAGTTCCAGGTCAGCTGGGGCTGCAAGGAAACCGTGTCTCAAAAAATAAAACAAAAGACTTTAAAAAAAAAAAAAAAAAACACATACTGTTCTTGTAGAGGACCCAGCTTCAATTCTCCGCACCCATGTTGGGAGGCTTTTAACCATCTATAACTCTAGCTCCAAGGGGTCTGATGCATCTGGCTTTCAGAGGCACTGTACTCATGTGCACATACCCGGTCCACACAGGCACACACACAGCCATAATTAAAACTAAATTAAATTTAAACAGATTTTTCTGAGGGAGAGCTGGGAGACTTCTAAACCTGCCAAGGCCCTTCATTTCATATAGAAACCAGAGTCCAGTGAGAGAATGGTACCACAGGGCAGCCCTTAGATGTCTACCACCACTCACATCCCTCCACCAAGCCTGCGTTATTCCTTTGGCTGCCAGAGCTAGGTGCTTTTCAGCCAGAGGCCCTCACTTGGCTGGAAGCTGATCAGAAAAATATATTTCCAAACTACTCAAAATTCTGACAGCTAACCTAAGATTGGCCAAAGACGTATATTTTTAACAAGCTCCCCAGATGCGTTTTGCCCTAGTCTGTCTCTCCTTGGAAGGCACTGTACTTTTCATTTTCTTTGGTTTTTCTTGGTGACATATAACAGCAGAGCTAGATTTTCTGAGCAGCTCCCTCTCCTATCTATTGCAGCCCGAGCTTCTAGGTGCTTTTTTCTCTCCATAGCTAGATCTTGTCTTTTTCCTGACCTACTTCCCTGGGACTTTGTCCCTATCGGCATCTTCTTGGTCTGGCTACTTTGAGGCCTTGTATCTCACTGCCTGTGCTGAATAAGATTTAAAAAGGACCTAAAAATAGTTCCTTTAATGGCTTCTGCATTGCAGCCTTCACTTGTGGTCTGTACTGGAAAGTAGCCAAACTGACTCCACAAAAGCTAACCTCCAGAAGGGAGCAGGGACAGGATTGCAGACAGTGCTGGGAGGGGCTCTGCTTCCTAGGTGCAGCCTGTCCTCTAGAAGAGGCAGTTCTCTCAAAGAGCAGGCTGAACAAAGGAGAGAAAGGTAAATGAAAACGCAAGATAATCCAGCCCCTTTGAGATGCTTAGTGGAGCCCTCCATGGTAAGCATGGGCAGATGAGAAAGGAGAGACCTGCCTTGGAAGGACTGGGCCGTTGCTTTTGTCCATTGTCTTTCTGCAGTTTCTGTGCCTGGACACATCCCAGACTGAGCCCCTGCCAGCATTTACCCTACACCAGAAACAGTCCACATTCCTTGATTTTTTGGTTTATTACAGTGTAGCGATGCACCCAGGAAGGGCCTCATGCTAGGCAAGTGCTCTACAACTGAGCTCTACCGCAGCCCATTCTTGATTTTCCAAAAACTGCCCCTATATTCTTAGTCTCTTGATATCTTTTATTCTCTGCCTTGAACTTGCTATGCAGATGAGGATGAACTTGATGATGATCTTGCCTACACCTCCCAGGTGCTGGGGTTGCAGGCATTCACCACTGCACTTAGTTTTTCCCTTCTTCCCAGCTTGCCCTTCTTTACAAATCCAAATGACCCTTTTTAAGAGTGCTCTTACTGAGCACTTTGGTGAAATAGCTAAGAAAACCCTTCTCCATTTCTCCATGCAAAGGAACAGAGCTGTCATGCACCAAAGGAACTTTGTCCCGGTCTGTTCAGCCCTGACTTTTTTTTTTTTTTTTTTTGGCATGTATTCAGCAGCCTCTCTGACCAGAACAAACATTAAGCATCTATTTTAGGTGAGGCCCTGAGCTAATCATAATTTCATACTTCTGTTTTATTTAATTGCAAGAGGCACATACTCTCTTTTTTGGTAAGTTGAGACAGTCTCACTCTGTATACCCTTCTGGCCTTGAATTTGATATCCTGCCTCACCTTGCTGAGAACACAGTTCTATGCCACCACATCCAGCTATGTTTTCTTCATTTTTACAGCAAAGTGGCTCAGGATGAAATGGCTTATCCTTGTTCTTCTTAAAGTATTTTGTTTATATGTGTATTGCCTGCATGTGTGTAAAGTGCACCGGTGTCGTGCAATGCCCGAGGAAGTCAGAAAAGGGCGTCAGATTCCCCTGGAACTGGAGTTACGAGCAGTTGTTAGCCACCATGTAGGTGCTGGGAATGGAAGCTGAGTCCTTTGCAAGAGCAACTAGTGCTCTTTAACCACTGAGCCTTCTCTTTAGCCCTTTGTATATGTTCTCATGTCTCTAGAGCTGCCCACCAGGGTTGGAGTCCATCAAGGTCTGTCTCCAAGGTTTACACAATGGTTGTCGGCTAAAGTCCATCCAGATTGGCACTCTTGCTCGGCTATGTATCCATTCCAGCAATACCATTGTTCATGTCTATATACCTAGAGGAGCCTGGCAATCAGGAATTACAGCTTAGTGTCATCATGACTCATCGGGTCCTTGTTCCACCCTCTGAGCAGCTGCTTGATCCTGGGTAGGTTGTTTGACTCATCCTTGGTGTTGCGATGAACCTCATTTCCAATTGTAGGTAGGTGTGGGGTGGTTATAGGGATTAAAAATCCATTCTTTGGGCTGCTGAGAGGGTTCAGTGGGTAAAGGCACTTGCTATGCACATATGGTGACCTAAGTTTGAGCCTCAGAACCCACATAAAGATGGAAGAAGATAACTGACTCCACAAAATTGACCTCTGCATATGTGTAATATCAAGATTGATGAGATAGCTCAGGGGGTAAATGCTTGCTGATGACCTGAGTTTGATTGCTGGAACCCACATGGTGGAAGGAGAAAATCAACTCCTGCAAGTTGTCCTTAGACCTCTACACAAGCACTTTACATACATGGGCGCACGTGCACACACACACACACACTAAATATAATTTACAAAAAAATTGAAATCCATGCCCAACATCTAGTCTGCAAAGGCTCTTACCTCTGCCCTCTGGGTTCTGCCTAGAGAAGGGGCCTCTGTCCCTCTCCCAGGAGATTTGCAGACTCAGAAAGTCCAGCACTCTGACATGATCTATATTAGGTTCCTATGGTTATAGTAACCAGTCACCACAAACTTGGTTACTTAGCATAGGTTTATTCTTTTCTAATTATGGAGGTTGTAAATCTGAAGTTGGAATTACTGGACATAAATAAAAAATCT